AAAAGGCAGCGCTGTGCAGACAGTGAAGACCATGGTGGCCAGGGGCTGGGGGGAGGGACGGACAAGGGGGCACAGAGGATTTTAGGGCCGTGAAACTACTCTGTGTGGTACTATGACGGTGGGCACATGTCGTAACACATTTGTCCAGACCCACAGAACCTACAGCCCCGAGAGGGACCCCAGTGCACACCGTGGCTCTGGGTGCTGATGATGTGTCAATATGTGTTCATTAATTGTAAAAAGTGTACTATTCTGGTGGGAACTTTGGCCATGGAGAAGACTGTGCATGTGCAGAGTGGGGAGTATGAGAGAAATCTCTGTGCCTTCCTCTCAGTTTTGCTGTGAACCTAAAACTGCTCTAAAAAAGTCGTCTTTTAAAGAGACAGACTTGGAACAGTGGTCAGTACAGGGAAGGGGGCAGCTATTCCTCCCATTCCCTTGTCTGAGCATGCACACCACACACACCAACATAACACCATGCACATGTGCATTACACACTCAGTTACATGTACACATTGTGCACTTGGACATACATGTGAGAGCCAGCACACATTTCTATATACTAGCACATATGTGTGCCCACTTGCACATACAAGTGCACGCTCACATGTACATGTACACCATTGGGCATACATGTACACAGTGGTACGTTCATTTGCACAGCCACATTTGTGTACACATGTACATGTTAACATGTTATGTGTGCACATGTGTGTACATTATATTGTGCGTGCACTCGGATGCATGCACGCTCACATGTGTGTGCATATGCTCGCATATGTGTACACACATCTGTCCTCCCATGCTGTCCCCATATGGTCCCCATCCTGTCCTTGCATGCTATCCCCCCACATGCCCCCATACTCTCCCATACTGTACCTCCACGGTCCCCATACTCTCCCCACACCCTCCCCGGCACTGTCCCTATGATGTGTAGGGGCCTCATAGCCTGGCCACCCCTCTGGGCCCCACCAGCTTTTTCATTCTTTTTTTTTTTATTAAACTCTTTATTAGTTAAGGTATTACAAATGTGTCCTCATCCCCCCCATTAAAGCTTTCTCATTCTGAGGACACAGATGCTGGAGCCGCCCAGCGACAGGCATGAACAGGAGCCTGGGGTGGACTGGCCAGCACTCCTCGCAGAGTCACTGCAGGGCCCATGAGACCTCACGGCTGGGAGCACCACCTGTCAGAATCAGGATACACTGTCTGGGGCACACCCAGGCTGGTCCCCTCGCCTCCCTCTCTCCCCAGCCAGTGCCCTTACCCTGAGGAGCTGCGCATCAGTTGGGACCAACCCCACTCCATGGCGGGACAACCAGCCACCAGCCAGGCCCACCCAGCACAGCCCTGCCTCATTGCCCTACAGCTGCATGGGGTTCACCAGGCGGGACTTCGGCAGGGCCCAGCTTACCTGAGGATGACATACATGACGAGGCAGTTCCCCAGAAGCCCCCCGACACACACAGCCAAGTAGAGTCCCACGATGGTGACCTTAAGCCCGAGAGGCAGGAAGGCCCCATGGCTGACATTGAGGAGCAGGTCAGGGGGCAGCAGGCTGTGGTTGGGGCTCACGAGGCCATCCTGCAGGTCACTGCTGTAGACCTCCCCGGGCGGGGTGGGGAAGAGGCACTCCATGCTGCTGCCCTGCCTGCGCAGCCACTCGGTACCTGGGAGGCACAGGGACACGTGACCACAGCACCTGACACCCACCCAGCCGAGGCCTCCAGCACCATGTGCATGGCCCAGCAGGCATGTGAGTCCCCCCATGGGCAGCCACAGTCCCAGAAGCACATGTTTGCACACAGGGACACAGGCTCACACATGGGCACACACAGGGACACACAAAGCATAGAGCCATGCCTGCCTACACAGGGACACACAGGCACGCAAATGTGCATACACAGGGGCACAGGCACATATGCAGACATGAAGCATAGACAGGGACACACAGAGAACATGTGTGCACACACAGGCACAGTCTCATTTGGTCTGCAGACCCCCACATGGGATGTGTGGGTGTAGGTACACACCGGGACATATTTCCCCCACAGGGACTCCTGCACATGCAGCTGCCCCGTGTGCTCACAGGCACAGGGACACATGTGCGCGCACACGCACACACACAGATGCCCAACCCTGCCTTCCTGCGCACACAGGCACAAAAGGGACCAGACCCGCCCAGAAATACCTGAGACAAGGACACAGGGAGTGAGAGCACAGCTTCCGCCCGCCCTGCCCAGAGCGCAGCCGGCTGGCGGCAGGTCACCCCACATCCACCCCACATCCACCCCACACCCACAGCCAGTGGCGCAGGCCTTACCTTGGCACCCCCGTGGGAGCTGGGGCCGTGGAGACCTGACCCTGGCCCACGAGCAGCACAGGCTGCGGCTTCTGCCCGAGCAGCCGGGGTCTGGCTGGGGCTGCAGCAGAGGCAGTTGCTCCTCCTCAGCAGACGCCAGAGCAGCCACAGCCGCAGGAGCAGGCGGGAGAGGCTGCCGCGGGGGGCGGGGCTGCGCAGGCGGGAGGAGAGGCTGCAGGAAAGGGGGTCACCAGGCCCCTGACTGGGTGGGACGGACACAAGGACCAGGGCGCGCATTTAGAGATGAATGACAGAGCCAGGCTCAGACACAGACGCAGACAGGAACTTAGACAAAAGGACAAACACAAGGACACATGAGGACTCAGAACAGGCACATGGGGACAGACACACACACACACAAGGACACAGAGAGACACACACAGACATGGGACAGAGACAGGAGGAAGTGCACACGAAACACACAGACTAGGTCATAGATATGGGGCCGTGTCTCACATGCAGAGCCAGCCTTGGATGGGCTCAGACTGCCTGTTTGAGGGTCCCAAGGAAGCTGAGCCAGAGCGGGCCAGCAGGTGGGTGGGCACGGCAGAGCCCCTCCCTGGCCAGCCTCAAGTGGATCAGTCTTGTTGTCAACAAGCAGGATGCCTGTGCGCCCTTGTGTGCCTACTGTGTGCCCCACATGCCTCCCAGGCCCCAAGCCAGTCACAAGCATGACCTCATCCACCCGCATCGTGCTTGGCCATTGCTATCAGCATCACCTTTGTGCAGCGAGAGCATTAGGACTCAGAGGTGTGAGGCCACTTGTCAAAGTGACAGAGACAGGGTTTGAACCCAGGTCTTTCTGTCACTGAGATACACTAAGGAGGTCTGCGCCACAGCTGGGCCCCAGAGTAACTTCTGAGCATCCTTCTCTCATGGCCTGCCCTCAGCAACCACACAGCTGACAGCCCCCACTGGGAAGCTGCTTCCTAACACTGGGGTCACATGCCATGTCGGGAACTCCTCAGCTGAGTTGTCAGCCCCACCCAGTCATGGGGTCAGTCTTCCTGCACAGGCTCTGCCCACACATCCCAGACCCTGTCTGAGCCTCCGTCTCCAAGGATGGGGACATGGTTGCTAGGTGACTGGTGCAGCGTTGCTAGGATACCTGGGGAATCAGGAGAGGACAGAGAAAGCAGATGCCTCAGGACTCAGCATCCCAAGCTGTCCCCCAGGACCTGTCTCTGCATCTTCGCAGCAGCCTACTCAGGGACACAACATACAGGCTCACATGCCTATAAACAGGCACATGGGAAACACACAGACATGGGCACATGCTCAGGAATGCACAGGCACTGGCAGGGATGCACAAACACCTGGGCCACACATGCAAACCCATACCAATGTGCATGTGAGGCACACGGTTAGACACGAGAGAACAGACAGACAGAAGGTAAGGGCCTTAGACACCTGGGGTACACACATGGGCACCATCCTCCCCAGGGGAAGCTTGGCCCTGCTGACCTCAGAAGCCAAGAGGCTCACCTCCTACAGCTGCCCCTGGCTAGGCTCACCACAGTCTCAGCAGCCAATCCTAGTCCCTCCTGCATCCAGGGAACCTCTATGGAAAGACGGGCGGGGGGGGGGGGGGGGCCGAGACAGTCCTTCTGTGGAGCCTGGGGGTGGGGTCCACGCTCAGAATTTAGGGGCAGAGACTCCTAGTTCACCCTTGCCCAGGAGGCCAGAGCAAGCTGGCCACAATGGGGACAGTCAGCAGCCTCCTGCGGAGAGGCCCGGACTTCAGCTAAGACCCCGATCCACAGCCAGGATGGTCCCCTGCTCTGCGGCTCAGGTCCTGAACTCCCAAGAAGGCACCATCATGAGCCCAGCGCCCACAGCCTCAGGACACATGCACGAGTGAAGGCGAGAGTGGCATAGGCACTGTGGAAGCCACCGATACTTGGACAAATTAGGACTTAAAGCACTGATTCGGGCCCAACATAAACTGTGGGGTGAGCATATGAATTAGTGAATTCCAGAATAAACTGCTGAGTGCATGAACAAATTACAGAATCAACTGAGACGGGAATTGGTTATAGAAGAGTATGAAATTAGCAAACACAAATAGATTACAGAAATCCAGGAGCCAGAGGTTTAGGGTTCAGCAAAACCCAGGTCTGATCTTGTAGGACCCCTGGGACCCCAACCTTGCCCTGGGAGGGGTGAGTGGTCGTTAGTGTTGCCCCATTTCCAGTCTGTGAACTCCAGAGGCTGTGCGGGGCATGTGGAGGGAAAGGGCTCAGTGCTAAGGTCTCTAGCTGCGCTCCTTGCCCCCAAAATTAGCCACCAAAGACTGCCCCAGCCAGGAAGCTGGGCGCACAGGCCCCCACAGTGTATTGGGGCCCCAGAAGGAAAGACAGCTCATGGGGACCAGAAAAGCTGCTGTCACCACCTCCACGATCTTCGACTGGCTGGGGCGGCTGCGGGCATCCGGTGGCGATGTGGTCTGCTCACCTGGACCAGGGTTTTGCCCTTGCCCCGTGAGTGCGTGCGTGCGAGGGGCCACTCACTGTGGCCCGGGTTGGGGAGGGGCGGGGCTCCCGGTTGCCGGGCAACCGCGCGTCACAGGCCCCAGTGAGTAGGGGCTTTGTTGGAGGCTGACTGCAGAAGCTGAAATGTATGGGGTGTCGGAAGGGGGAGGGGGGCAGGACCTGGCCCGGGGTCTAGGGCCTGGGGTGGTATGGGCTGGACCCCGGGAAGGGAGGAGCCGTGGAGGGGAGACCGGCCGACCCTGGTGAGCCCTCCCCGCTATCCCCTCACCGTCTAGACCAGTGGGGGGCAGACCAGGAAGATGGGTCTCCCCAGAAGCAAGCCAGCGTCCATTTGGCTCTGAGCCTCCCCTGGGGCTCCAGCCATCGTCGCGGGGAGGGTCTGCCAGGCCTGGTCTCCAACCTTGGGTGGGGCCTGAGGGCAATTCAAGGGTCTCAGCATTTTCTCAGTGGACAGGGAAACAGCCCGTGGGCAGAAGTGGGATTTCCTGAAACTCCGAGAGGAACAGAAAGTTCTAGCAGGACCGATAGCGAGGCTTGGCCCGGGGGCAGAGGCTGGAGGCGGGGACCTAAGGCGGCTGCGGGGTCTAGAGGGGGTGGCAGATGCCCCACGGACAACGTGCTGGCACCAATGACGGGACGTCCTCCTCCCTTAGCAAGGCCCAGGATGCCACCCCCGGCCGCAAAGGAGGCCGGGAGCAGGGACCTGCGGGAGAGAGCCGGGAAGGGCGCGCAGAGCGCAGAGTCCCGCGAGAAGCGCGCCAAGGGGGCAGCCGCAAAGGGGCCCCCCAAGCCAGGCTGGGCTCTGTCACTGGAGGGGCTGGAGGCCATGAGCCCCAAGCAGTGCCACCGCCACCTGCTCTTCGGGGACTTGCTTGAAGACGTGGGTGCGGCCGCCTCCATCTTCCCCCGCGAGTCAGCGGAGTTGGGGTACCGGATGCCCGACCCGCGGGCGTGGGCGCAGTCACTGGAGCCGTCGACAGCGCGCCAGGACCGGCTGCTCGGCGTCCTCAAGGCGGCCGAGGCCCGCGGTCGGGTCCGCGCCTTGCGGTTGCGCTACACCTACATGCGGGTCAGGCGCGGGGGCCAGAGGCAGGGGCGGGCATGCGAGACGGTGGGGCAGCCTGCGCAGGAGACAGCCGGGCCCTGAGGAAAGGGGTGGGGATGGCGAGGGCTCCCTGCGGGAGCGGAGGGTGGCGGCGGGGCGGGGCGGCCCGCGGGGTGCCCTGCGGGAGAGAGCCAGGCGGGGCGACTCTCTGGGGCTCAGAAACCCCCCACGCTGCGCCCGACCCACAGGCGGAGGAGATCTCGCTTCTCATCCAGCGACAGAAGTCCGCGCGCGCCGCCATCCGGCTGGAACTGTTCCTGCCGCCGCAGCTGAAGCCCACGCGGATCCCGGACCCCCTGGACCGCCAAGAGGTGCCTGGCAGCCCGGGAAGGGGCGGAGGGGGGCCGCCCACTGCCCTGCACACCTGGCCCCAGCCCCTCTCCCGCAGCGGAGGCGCGTGGAGACCATTCTGGAGGAGAAAGTGGACGGCAGGAACTTCCTGCGCTGACGGCCAGGCGCACTGGCGACCACACCCCACCTCCCCCATAAAGTTCTGGTTCTCCAAGGCCTGCTGGTCTTTATGCTCCCCCTCCAGGCCCCTGGGAGGAAAGGGGGTCACCGAGTGGGGCATCTCCAACAAAGCAGGAAGATGCAAGGGAGGGGTGTCAGGTCCACAGGGGCCAGGGACACCCTTAACCTCCCAAACCCAGAGCTGTCAACCTGCAGGAGAGGAGAGGGGAGAGCCTGGCTCAGCAGCAGTCACAGCTCCATGGGAGAGTACGGGCAGCCCATGCCCGCAGGCTGCAGGCCACCCCACAGGGGTTCAGAGAGGAGTGATGTTCTGGGCACACGCCTTGGAGAGCAGCAGGCTGGGCGGTCCTCAGAGGTGGGGAGGAGGGGGAGGCCAGCCGCTGTGCCCTCTGGCTCTCCTTTCCATCCTGAATGCTGCCTCTGCCCTGCTCCATCTCCCTGACCAGCCGCTGCCCCCCCCCCCACACACACACACACACGCACACACGCACACGCACACGCACGGAAGGAAACTGCCCTGTTCCATTTGGACAAACCTACCTCCTGCAGATCTTCTAGATTCTGAAGAGCCTCCAAGTTTCTGGACAACCCTTGGAGAATACTCTTGCTGTTTGCAGAGCCCAGGACTTCCCTCAGCCACCCTCCACCGCCCCCACTTCCCTACCCCCCCCCCCCCCCCGCCAGACTGCAGTGGGGGCTTCAAGGGACTCCACAAGCTCCAGCCCTAGGGGCCCTCCCCCTCCCAATAGGCTGCAGTGCAAAGATCCTGGAGGGGTGCATTCTTTACAGTCCCTAGGTCAGAGCTGGGGTCTGGCAAGGACTCTTGCTCAGTGGTAGTCACTCTCCCTCCCTCGGCCAGCTCAGGATGGGGACCGCTGTGGGGACCGGGCCTCTGTGCCCTCAGCTAGCCCTTCCCCCTGCAATGACCCTTTGCCCTCTCTGAGCTATTGCTGCCTTTAGCCTGGATCACACCCAGGACCATGTGTGGAGCTGGAGTCTGGCAGCTCCGGGAGGGAGGTATTCAAGAAGGAAGAGGGAAGGAGGAAGGAGAGACGGACAGGGAGGCAGTTTCTGTCCAGGAGTGGTGGCCATTCACACTCTGACATGCACTGGACGACAGCCAGGGCTGGCTCTCTGCAATTGGGACCCCAGCATTCTGTCTCCTGAGAATGAGCTGAGGGCCTGATGATTCCATGTGTTTGTAAAAGCACATTTCATGTCATCACTTCTCCGAGCCTCCATTTCTTCATCTAAAAAGGAGGCCCTCAGGGGCCTCGCTGGGCGCCATGCCCTCCACACAGCACTTACTCCACCAGGGAGGGAGGGCACTGCCGTAGGCAGGCACCAAGGGCAGAAGGACAACACAGACATGCCAAGCCCTACGAAGGCCAGCTACAGAGTAGCCTAATAGACGGCTGCACACCAGATGTCAAGCGGGCACACAGGGCACCCTTTGACCCCCATGCCAAGGAGCGGACCCTAGGTCTGCAGAGGAGGCCAAGGAAAGCAGTGAGGAAAGGTAGCTGGGCCTGGAGGTGGTGGCTGCTATGAGCAAGCGAAGCATGTGAACTATGATTCAATGTATGTGAGGGATTAGGTGGTTCCCAGGGCTGAAAACTTAAGCTCTGGACAGAGGGTCCTGGGTTCAAATTCCATCTCCACCATTATCTTTTTAAAAATATATATTTTTATTGATTTCAGTGAGGAAGGGAGAGGGAGAAAGAGATAGAAACATCAGTAATAAGAGAGAACCATTGATGGGCTGCCTCCTGCACCCCCTATACTGGGGATCGAGCCACAACCCGTGCATGTGCCCTTGAAGGGAATTAACCCGCTGGCAGACGCTCTATCCGCTGCGCCAAACCGGCAGGGGCATCTCCTCCACCATTTTCTTGAGTGAGTTTCTGCCCAGCCTGCCTGGGCTCCTCCGTGGAACATGGGGACACTCTACAGAGACAGACTCCCCAGAGGAGGTGCAGGACACCCAGAAAGGCCGAGGCAAGGGGATGGAGAGCAGGCCCAAGTGGCCAGAGGACGCGGGGGAGTGGCTCAAAGGGGCAAAGAGGTTTGTGGACCCGCACCCACAGCCAGCTGCTACACATTTCTCAGGTGGGGTGGAGCTGCTACACCAAGGGATCAGCCTGGCAGAGTGACCGTGACCAGTACTGGCCCGTCTTCGTGGGACCTCGGGTCTGGACAGGCTCTCGGTCTCTGCCCCTGTCCTAGCCAGCCTGTCACATGGCACCAAGCTCCCTGGGCCCACAGCATCAGGAGGCCCCCCAGGCTCCAGGGCCCTGCCACCCCTCTGCCCCTCCCCTGCCTCTCCATCTCTCACCCAGTAGCAGTCCTCCAGGGCCGGTCTGCCTGACACCCTGTGAGGCCCCAGTGCGGCATGAAGCGTGTGTGTAAAGTCTCCATTTCCCTTCACACCTCAGAGTTCTGGGAGCCTGTCCACAGGGCGACTGTACAATGGGAAGTCGTTTTGTGAGCAGAACCCAGCATCAGGAGCTGTGCAGGCTGTCGCCTGCAGGGGACCCGCTGAGACCAGGGGTCACACCCACTGCATGCCGGGAGCATGAGCAGGGCCACTGCGATGCTCCAAAAGCTGGGACAGGAACTGAACTAACAACTGTACCAGCTCTCTAAACTGTAGGGCACCTTGGGGCAGCATGAGGGGTTAGAAGGGACTCACCCCAAGACCCCACGGATAGGACAGGGACTTTTGATGACTCCAGATGCAAGAACCCATCCCCCCACCCCCCACCCCCCACGGCAACCCAGGGCCCCTGCCCCTTCCTTGGTAACCCCCTACATTGTAGGGCCTACACCATGGAGATAGGGGCTCCTACCCTCATTTTACTGGTGGGGCCTGGGGCAGGCGGGCAGAGCCACGCGCGGTCCTGGCGCGGCCTTAGCCCAGGGCTCTCTGGCTGCACTTTGGAACAGCGTCTCAGGGCGCCCACGTGCAGGCAGAGCCAGGCACGACCACACCCCCAGGGGCTGCAGAGCTAGCCCAGGCCGCTCAGGGGCCAGAGGCCCCAGGGGCGACACCTCACCTTCAGCCACAGCCCTAGCGATTCACGGCGGGGACCGAGGGCCGAGCCGGCCGGGCCGGGTGGTGGGGAGCGGAGGGAGGGGCGCGGAGCCGCGAGCGCGGGGCGGGGCGGGGCGCGCGGGCGCCTCCCCGAGCGAGGAAGTCCCGGCCCCGCGCTTTGGGGAAGTGCGGCCAGGCGCCTGCGCACAGCACCCCGCGCCCGGCCGGCGAGCGGCGGGACCTCGGACCTCGGAGCCGGGCCGGCGAGCGGCTGAGAGCCTGGCGGTGAGTGCGCGCCGGTGGCGCCGGGACCGCTACTGCCCCTGCGGCCAGGGCTGTGCGGGCGGGAGCGGGCTCCGGTTCCGCACCCCAAGGACTCCCGCCGCGGGGTCCACGTGGACCCCGGGCCGCAGAGGGACTGGAGTCCACCCCCACGCGCGTGGGGGAGGGGGTGCTGCCACTGGGTTCCCGTTTTCTGCAGCTCAGAGCCTGGGGAAGTGATTGCTCAAGGGGGGGCCGGAAGAACCCAGGTTTCCGTGTCTCCCGCTCCCCCAGCTGGTGGGGAGGGGCCGAGGCGGGACACCCTGTCGGCCCGCTCCGTCCGTCGGATCTGGCAGCTTCTCAGACCTGCGAGTCGCAGAGGAGGCGCTGACCCCCACCCCAACGGAGAGGGCCGGGCCGGCGCGATCCAGAACCGCGGGAACCTGCCACCGACTCGCCCCCGCTGCTGCGGCGCACGCCCCTTCGGCAGCCAGGGGCGGCCCAGACCGAACCGGCCCCTCCCGCTCCCGCCTCGCCGTTGGGTCGCTGGTGAGTGGGGCGCCATGGCGACTTCCTCGAGGTCGGGGTGGGGGCCTCGGGTCCCTGCAAAAGGAGACAGGCTTTTGCAGGCCAGACCCTCCCGCAGGAAAAGGGATCGAGAAGTGAGTCTCCGCCACCACTGGAAAGGTGGGCTGGGGCGCGGGTCACCTGGTGAGGAACATTGGCCTCGGAGGAGCCAATCTGGGGCTCACCCACCAGCCAGATGTGGAGGGGGGCAGGTAGGAAAGGTACTGAGCAGGATTAGGAGGGAATGGAGCCCGAAGGTGATGGCAAGTCTACTTAGAGGTACACTGGCTGCCTGTCCAGTCTCTTTCATCCCAGACTGGGGAGGGGGTGGGGAGCTTCGAGGGACTAGGGAAGGGGACGGAGCCCCCCTCCAAATGCCAGGATGAGGGGCAGGAACCCCAGCCAGGAGAGAGTAGGCGCCCTGGGGCACAGGCTGGCCACAGCCAGCCTGAAAAGGGAGTCAGGTCCAGGGCCTGCAACCTGGACAGCAGGAACTTGTCCCCCCTCTGCCCCAAATTTGGACTCCAGCACCTGGGCCCTGCACCCTCAGACAGGGCCCCTCTGCTTCAGAGCTGAGTCGGAGATGGCAGCCCACTCAGGTGCTCGGGGCTGGGGACAGGACGAGGCCCTGCCCCCACTGACGGGTGGGGGTGCAGAGGAGGAAGAGCAGCTCTGCCTGGGGAAGTCACAGCAGCCTGGGGTACAGCTACAGCTGCAGGCCGCAGAGGCTGCCACACCCCTTCCTTTCCCTAGAAACTTCACCCCTGAGGGAAAAGCTGTGGGCTGCTGCTTCCCCATCTGCTTGCTGGGAGCCCCTAGGACCAAGTTTGAACCCTAACCCTACCCTGCCATGATCTCAGGGTTGTAAGGGGCTAAGGCCCCAGGGGACCCTGTGCCTTGCTCCCAGTTATGGGTCAGGGCAGGGGCCTCTGTGCCAGGCCCTGAGACAAGGGTGCCCTGAGCATGCACAGGGTCCTGCCCAGACCTGGCCAGGGCCAGAATGGAGCCCTGCTCCAGAGCTGCTGGCCTGGGGACTCCCAGGCCCTGTCCCTAGGGCATCCACCCTCCCCTCCTGACCATGGCCTAGGCCAGCATGGACCACAAAGGGTTAAAAGATCCTCAGCTGACTGATGTGAAACCAAGTTTTGAGCCTCCTGCCGGCTGAGACAGGTGGTGGGGGCTCAAGAAGGTTTGCGAGGCAGATGGACAGGGCTCCCCAGGCCCTGTGGGCCCTCAGCTGGGTGGGTGGGGGGCTCCCCAGGCCCTGTGGGCCCTCAGCTGGGCCGAGGTGAGTGCAGGCAGGGGCCGTGGTGGGGAGACATTCAAAACTGCCTCCAGGGTGCTGGTGGCTGCCCTGTGCTGTCACTTTCGAGGTGCAGTACTTGGGGATCTGAAGTCAGCCTCCCTGGAGACACATGAAGGTTGCCTGGCTGGAGCCTTCAGCTCCCCCCCCCCGCCACCCCCCCACCCCCCGTTCCCCGCACCCCCTGCGCAGAAAATGCTGCAGAGACTTTCTGCAGAGACACTGAGAAGGACACACCCCTTGCCTCCCTTGGGTACCCCGCAGTTCCAGCTAGGGAGCAGGACACCCCCTCTCCTCCCGCTGCAGCCCCTGCTCCCCTCCCCCCACCTGTGCCCCCTGCTCTGTGGCAAGGCAGCAGTTTCCCCAGCCCGGAGCAGGGAGGGAGGCCGGGAGACCTGGGCAGTAAGTGGCCAGCTGGGGGTCGGGGCTAGCAGGGGCCAGTCGTTGAGGACAGTGGAGCGGTAGGTCCACCGCAGAAAACTCATGGCTCTCCTCACCATGAGCCCCGCTCCCCACGCCCTCAGGAAGCCCCGCTCCCTTTCCCACTCAGACCCTTCATGCTGCAGGCATGGTCGGCGCCCCTTGCTCAGTCCAAGTGACCAGGGCATTGCTGTGGGGCCCAGGGGCAGATCTGGATTCCTGGTGGGAAGCCACCCTACCCATCCCCACCCCCCAGCACAACCTCCACAGGAGACCCAGGACGGGGGGGGGGGGGGGGGGGGCTGGGATGGGGGTTCTGCATGCCTCACCATCCTCCCTGTGCACTGACCTGACAGCCCCAGGCACTTGGGGCCCCAGCCCCCTTGGGAGGGGCCAGGAGCCGGAAACCAAGAAAGAGGAACCCAGGCTTCCGGCTTCCCAGGGACCAAGCAGATGGGGGTGTCCCAGAACCTCCTGGGAGCTCTTCACAGCCCTGATATAGGCTGGGGCGAGGCTGCAGGCAGGGGAGCAGGCCCTGCTGGGGCTCCAGGAAGGAGGGAGGCAACTCTCAAGACCCCTCCCAGGGGCCTCAGGGCTGGGGTCTCAGGTTCTCTGAGAACCTTGGCCTCTCCTCAGACCCCCAGGTTGTGGTCAGGGTCCCGAGCCAGCATCACGGAGCCCGAGCGACGACCTCCACCCACCCATGCCCACCGCGCATGAGGCCGAGAAGCAGGTGCACCTCCTCCGCCCCTGCCTCGCCCCCTCAGGGACTGGGGGGCGGGGCAACAAGGAATTGAGGGACCCTCCAGCACCGGGGAGGCTGGAACAGTTCTGCCTTTGGGAGCGTGGCCACCTGTGACTGAGGCAGCCCGTCTCCCCCAGCACACAGGGCCAGAGGAGGCAGACCAGCCTCCCTCCATGTCCAGTCATGCGGGGCCCCCGGCTCCCCCCAGCCGCAACCCCTGCTGCTTGTGCTGGTGTTGCTGTTGCAGCTGCTCCTGGTACGTGGGGGTGGGGAGGGGTGGGCTGAGCAGACCTGGGCCCAAGACCCCACTCCCTGACCCTCATGTGGCTTCTGAGGCATCACCTGCAGGCAGGACGCCTCTGCCACCCACAACACGTATCCAGGGGCTGTTGGGTTCTGGTGGCTGGTAGCCAGTGCCCTGTGTGTGCGCACCCCTCTGTCTTTTATTCAGCACACGCTAACTGGCACCACTTACAGCCGGCCCCTGCTGGCCCTGCGGACCCACAGACTGTCAGATGGAGGGGGCTGAGCAGAGGCCTGGCCTGGGGACAGTGGGGACACACCTCCAGAGCAGCTGCTGGAGTGGGCATGGGGCTCCGGGTCGTCCCCGGGTGGGCAGGCATCTGGGGAAGCTGTTTGAGTTTTTGTGCCTTTCAGAGGCCTGACCCGACTCAGACTTCCAGCCCTTAATTGCAGAATGGATAGCACTGCAGGGAACCAAAGGGGGCGGCTGACCTGTGAGCAAGTGAGGCCGGAGCCCAGATCCAGGATGGCTGAGGGTGGGCTGGGGGTGGAGAATAGGAAGAGTTGGGACTCACTGAGAGTTTGGCTTTGGAGGCCAAGGGGTGTTTGGGGTCAGGCAGGCGGCAGTAGGTGTGGAGTTCTGTGTGGACGCTTTGGTGTGAGGTGTCTGTTAGCCAGGCATGGGTTTGGGAGCCAGAGGGGAAAGACAGGCTTCTAGGGAGAGTCAGGAGTCACCCCTTGGGCCAGGGGCTTCCCCACCCCATCAGTAAGGCCTTTGGGAGAAGGTGGGTGAGGTCAGACGGGGGGATACCAGGAGCCCGTGAAGGCCCAAAGGCAGGAAGACAGTGGAGGTCCTGGGTCAAATGCAGCTGGAGCAGCCAAGGCCTGGGGGCAGGGGAGAAGGAGCGGATCCTAGGGCTGCCACCTGCGGTGGGCTCACAGGTGCTGAGAGCCCCAGGCCTCATGTCCACACGTGCTGAGTGTCCGTGTTCACGCATGGGCCCGCGTATCTGCCATCAGGAGTGAAGGGCGGCGACCAGCATGGCGGGCTTCCGGGGAGAGCAAGCTGCAGCCCCTCCCCAGCTGCGAAGCCTGGTGAGTCTGGGGCCGTGAGCATCTGTGGGGGGGAGGGGGTCTGGGTGGAGCGGCACGTGCTTGACCTGGCGGCGGGTGCCCCAGCAGCACGCCAAGCCCTGAGGAGGTGCAGAGCTGGGCACAGTCCTTCGACAAGCTGATGCACAGCCCTGCGGGCCGCAGCGCGTTCCGGGCGTTCCTGCGCACGGAGTACAGCGAGGAGAACATGCTCTTCTGGCTGGCCTGCGAGGAGCTCAAGGCCGAGGCCAACCAGCACGTGGTGGACGAGAAGGCGCGGCTCATCTATGAGGATTACGTGTCCATCCTGTCCCCCAAGGAGGTGAGCCTGGACTCCCGCGTCCGGGAAGGCATCAATAAGAAGATGCAGGAGCCGTCCGCGCACACGTTCGATGACGCACAGCTGCAGATTTACACACTCATGCACCGGGACTCCTACCCCCGCTTCCTCAGCTCCCCCGCCTACCGTGCCCTGCTGCTCCAGGGGGACTCCCAGTCCTCCCACGAGGCCTAGGCCGCCCCCCACCGGCAGAGACTCAGGTCACCTTTCCCATGCGGCAGCCGGTGTTGGCACACCAGGCCCAGCACCCTGAGGGCAGGCCAGGCGCTCTCCCCGCCCAAGGGGCGAGTGCCCTGAGGCCCTGCTAACAGGCAGGGGTGTTGGCCGGCCAGGGGCTCCTGCCCGGTGAGGGGCGGACCCTCCAGGAGGCATCTCAGATCCACCAGCCTCGAGAGGCCCTGGAGCCTGGAAAAGTGCCTTTGATGGAAGAGACCTCTGCACTGTCCAGTGTGTGACGTGGCCAGACCTTCCAGCGGGAGCTGTTTGCTCCCCGGAATCAGCCCCAGAACCTCTGAACTAGGCTCAAGGTGACAGGATCCAGTTTCTCTCTTCTATGTTCATTAACTTTGAATCTGGAAACTTGTCCTCGCTGTATTTTATAAGGAAAAAAAGTTTTCATATTTATCTCCATTCCACCTCCCCCAAAATAGGATGTCTTGTTATTGAAGATACTTTTAAAGCAAGTCTCCTCCTTTCCATGTCCAGACCCAGGCAGGGGAGCAGGCGCTGTCCCACCCCAGCAGGTGTGGCTCCCGCAGCACCTCGCCAGGACTGGCAGTGCAATGGCAAGCACTGCCCAAGCCTTGGGTGGGCAGGGTCCTGAAACGCCTCAAAGGTCACCCCAGAGACTGGCCTGCAGGGCAGTACCCATGGGGTGAACCCTCCCTGAGGGTCCCCGGTGCCAGACACTATTAACTCCGCTGTCTCAGGCATGTGCTGGCCACTCATCCCTGAATTTCTGGGACGCAAAGGGGTTTGATGCTGCATGTGGCCCGAGACCCTGAGCTCGCCGGAGATCTAGCCCCTCCCCCGCCAATGCCTCCCAGAGCAGACTGGCTGTCGGGAAGGGCCGCCAGCGGAGGCTGAGGGACCCAGACTTGCCCTGGGCCCTGAGCTGCAGTGCCTGGGGAGGAGACCGGGTCCTCTGTGTGCCCGCGGCCCCCTTCACTCGGTCCCTCCAGCACTGCTCCCCCAGGGCCACCCCCATGTTCCCTGACCCCAGGAAGGAGGGTTGTCCCCAGCAGCAGTGGGAAACCCAACTCACAGCCCAAGCTCTGCATAGCCCACCAGAACCAAAAGCCAAGGGCAGCATGGTGGCAAGAAGACACATTTAATTGTTTGGATACAGGTGCGCTGCAGATGGGGGGCGGGTGTCTGCCTTCTGGGGACAGCCAGGAAGGCACAGGCAAGGCTTCAGAGGCTGTGTCCACAGGAGCCGAGGAGGGACGGCCAGCGCTGGCCGCCGTTGCAGGCACATCTGCAGGAGGGCTCAGCAGAACTGCAAGGAATGGCAGACACTCAGCATCGGTGACCCTGAGGGCGGGAGGCAGGAGCGGGCGAGGTCTCCACCACCCTCACCAGAGCTCCCAGGAGGCTGGCTGAGCAGGGCTGCCATCCAGTTCACACTGTGCAGACCCCACACAAGTGGGAGATCCCATCCCAGAGGAAGGGGCCCTGGGTTCACCCACATACCTTCCAGCGGTTCCCACACTCGTTGCAGACAACAAACGTGGTCATCGGCTCATCAGAGCTGCGGGTCTGCACCTGTGGGAGGATGTGGTGAGGACCCCCAGCCCCGCGCAGGTCTTCCCTGGAGTCACAACCTAGGAGGCCACCCATGCTGGGCTCGCAGCCCCGGGGTCCCTGTGGGTGATGTGCCCGGCTGCCCCAGCGACCCAGTCTTCCAGCCACCCTGACACACTCCTCTTCCCAGAGCCCTGCTGCCTCCTGGGGGCCACAGCAGTGTGGCCTCTGCGGGTCTGGGTGTGGTTCCATAGCCACCACCAGGGAGCACAGCCCACCCCCTCCCACCAGTAGCAACAGTCCTCGGGCCCCTCCATGCTGGGCTAGGCCAGGTTCCCCAACTTTAGTGTCCACAGCAAGCAGGACCTACCCCCCAAGATGCTGCTTACTGGGGCCCAAGGGTCCTGGCATGGGGAGAAGGTGACCATCACTCCCTGGCTTGGGTCCCAGCCCTGGCACCATTCACACTATGGGGTCAGGTGTGAGGGTGTGGACCCCACCCACAGGGCCGGCTCTGAGGGCACTTGGGGCCCTGAGGGGGTGGCCGCACACCTGTGTGTAGGTGCAGTTCTTCTTCCTGCACTTGCTGCAGGTGAACAGGTCTGTCTGGGTGCCCCCTGTGCGGGCCATCTGATGCTCTCGGATAGCCTCCTTGGTCATGGCCTTGCGGATCTCCTTCAGCTCATCACTGGCCATCTCCTGGGGGAGGGGGTGCTTAGCTGTGCAGCCAGCTCTGCAGGCAGCGCCCCCCCTCCACCGGGCGGGGCCGGGAAGCACCTCCGACGTCATCACCGCGATCTGCTGGGGCGTGATGGTGCCACACAGCACGTTCCGCCGCAGGTCAGGGTTCTTGGCGTCCTTGAGGTTGGCGATGCGGCTCCGCACGCGGTTCTTATACTTCATGTCCGTGTTCCCCACATCCCGGAAGATGCGTGCGGGCATTTAAGGACCCGCTGTAGGCTGAGGCTGCTGACCCCCACCCACCCCGCTGGGCCAGTGAGGGCCTCCCAGTGGGGGCCGCCAGGGTAGGGGTTGGGCTGGGAAGAGGAGCCCAGCCCTCTGGATCAGTCTGCCCCCAAGTCAAGTGGTGAGCTGAGGGGCTTCTGGGTGACCCACCTGGACCCAGTCCTGGCTCGGTTCCAGCTGCAGGCCAAGGCCCAGGCGGCACCAGCAGGCGGAACCAGCCCGCAGCAGGCTCAGGGATGAGCTGACCGCATCACCCCATAGCCTGGCAAAGGCGCCAGGGCAGTGGCCACCAGGGCAAGCTGGGCCTGGCTGGCCCGCTGACTCCTCTGGAACCCCCAGCCCAAAGCCCCTGCACAAAGGATATATTCCTCGATCTGGGCCGACAGGTGCTCGCAATCTGCACTGATGGCCGTGTGCTCACCTGCAGGAAACAGCTCTCTCCAGCCGCCCCGCTGGCTCCTCACCCCCTCGGCCCGCCCAGCACCAGGTGGCAGCAGTGGGTTGGGGACCAAGCTGTCCGGTGGGCACTCACGGTCCGTCTGCAGGGCGGCCGTCAGCATCTCCCGGCACTTGTTCCGCACGGCGTCGCAGGTGACCGGCGCCGGGGGGAACGTGGTCATCCTCGGGGCTGGCGGCGCCCTGGGCAGCTCCCGCCTCTTGCCACTGGAGAGAGACCGGCCCCTCGCACCACGTGAACTCATGAGACACCAGCCACCAGAAAAGTCAGCTTCATGGCCAGTTTCCCCTAAATCCCTTCAGCTTCCCCCAAAGAGCAGCCAGTGACCCCATGCATCTGCGGTCCAGCCCAGCATGCCCTGGGGTCTGCCCCACTGTCCAGAGGTAGTGAGGCCATCTGGGTAGGGCACCGACAGAGCACTAGGGGGGCAGCATCACACCCAGGGAAGCCCAGACCACGGGGCCACAATACCCAACACCATGTGCCAGATCAAGGAGAGGCAGGTGGGGCTGGGAGTCGCCCAAGGCCAGGTCTGCCCACCAGCATGGCTGCCCTCACAGGGCTGGGAGCCCCAGCCAGGCTGCCTGCCATCCAGGCTGCATCCTCCCACCCTCTCTCACAGTCTCATGCCGGTTTCATGCCGTGACCCCCATGAGGGAGGGAGAGGCCACAGTGAATGATGCAAGTTCAAGGGTGTGCAACCTGAGAACCAGACCAAGGGCCGGCCTGCAGCCCCCTCAGGGTTGCACAGCTCTTTTCAGCTCAGACACAGCCTCGCCCCTCGATGGTGGGGCTGAAGGCAGTGTCTAGAGGAGCTTTGGAAGGAAGGCATCCCCAAGAGGCCAACCAGGTCAGGCCTGGCTGCCTGGGAGAGTCCCTCCAAGAAGCTAGCAGGGCCCATGTTCATGTGTCCTCAGCCTGCCCAGGGCGCAGAAGTCAGCACCTTCATGCCAAGCAGGTGGTCCCTGGCGGCAGGAAGTGTGCACCGCCTTCCAGGTGCACTACCTGGAATCCTTGACCTCCGAGCCCTCCTTTGAGGATGATGTGGGCGGAGGCCCGCCCCTCCTCCGGTCCCTGGCTTTGGCATCTGAAGCATCTGCAAGTGCCCAGAAAGGAGGGGGTGTGGCTGGCTAGGGGAAGGCAGGCCGAAGGGCAGGGCCAGGCCAGGGAGGGGAGCAGATCATCACCAAGGCACAGCCTCAGGTAGCTGGCCAGCCGAAACCCCCCACCCCCCGCCCAACCCTGCCCTCCCCACCCAGGCCCTAGTGCTGAGCCTTCCTGCTACCAACCAACTGGGGCCCTCTCCTGCCCAGACTCAGAAGGGTGGCCCCCACCCCTTTCTCGTACACATCCCCCCTCTAGAGGCTGCCTGTGGGCCTTTCTGGGGTCCCCCTAACTGCCCGTCCTGCTGGAGCAGACTGCCATCCACCCACAGCGACTCCTGTGTACAATCTCCCTGGCATGCGCACACACAGGCACAGTCCCCACAGGTGAAGCACTTGAACTTGGACAAAGGCGAGCCAGGACAGGCCATGACCCAGCTGGACCTTGGGCACCAGTGACCCCCTCCCCTGAGCACATCCCCCACTAGTCTCCTGAGACCCTGGTCTCCCTGGGACCTTCCCGTGGGATGAGGATCCCAGCCGCCACCAGGCCACGCGGGACCAGAAGGAGACCCGGGACACAGGTCTGCACTTTGCAGGCTTGGACAGAGCGCTGAGGCTGGAGGGCCTCAGGGTCCTGAAGCGGGCACCTCTGCGGTCCCCAGGAGGAGGCTGCCCCAACCCCTCTGAGGGGCAATGCCCCCCTTCCTCTCTGCCACCTCCCTCCTCTTCCCTCCTTTTCCTCACCCTTGGCCCCTTCTCCCTCCTCCCCCTCCCTTCGCCCCTGGCTGGGTGGCTCCCTGCCCTCCTGCCCAAGCCCTGCACTCACCCTCCACTCTCCTCTCTCCTGGCTCTACCTAGCAGCCCGACCCTCCCTCCGGCCCTCAGCCCCCACTCCCAGGTGGCTCTGACTCAGGGACAGTGGGGCCCCAGCACAGCCCGTGCTGCTGACGCGCACCCAGGAGCTTCTTCCAGGACTTGATGAGCGACTTGGCCAATGCAATGACCTCCTCATCCGAGCTCTGCTTCCGCAGGGCGTTGACAGACATGCCGACCCGGGTGGACTGCAAGGCAAGCATGTGGGCTGGGGCAGCCGCCAAGCCCCCTCACAGACCCTCGGAGCTCCCCCAGGGCGGGCTGAGGGACGGGACACTTCCCGAGGGCGACTGCCCCACCTGGGACTTGGGAAGCTCAGGGGGAGGGCAGGTGGGCCACCCTGTCCTCCCCCCCCCTCAGAAAACAGAACAAGGCACAGATGGTCTCTTCGGGAAGGGGTTTGTACTGACCAAGGACGGAGGGGGGCGGCCAGGGAGCCCTGTGAGGGCCCAGGAGCTGTCCCCGGAGCTGTCCTGAGCAGGGGCACGAGGGCCCTACCTGGAGCAGGTGCAGCGTGACCGGCATGGCCTTCAGCTCCCGCAGCAGGTCCACGGCCCCGTCCTAGAAAGGGCAGGGGTGCCTTCATGAAGGACTCCGAGTCTCAGCGCACAGGCCCACCTCTGACAACGAGGGGGACAGGGCAGTGACGATTTGGAGATCCACCTGGGCCAGACACCCCGGAGGGCCGGAGTGAGAAGTGGCCATGCACTCACCCAGCAGTACAGGTCGCGTGACTTCTCACCCAGCATCAGCCACTGACCAAACCGGGACGATGGGAAGTGCCTTGGAGGGCCACAGCCAGGTGGGGGGTGCCCGGGGTGCTCACTGTCCTGTGCAGTCCCATGCCCCTTGCCCAGGTGCCTTTTTCTAAAGTGGCCCACTCACGCACTGAGAGGGGCTGACCCGGGGCCCAGGGCGCCTCCACCACACCCACACCCAGGTTCACAGCCCCCACCCCACCCCATCAGTCTCTGCAGGACTCTCAGGCCCTGGCCAGCCACCCCCCTCGCCTGGACTATCAGACCCCTGGGCTTTCTCTGCCTCACCCCCACCCCACACCTGTTTTCTCCAAGCCCTGACACAATAAGGCACAGCTCCTCAGGCTCCTCCAGGGGCCAAGCTGCCGCTCCCATACAGGGTGCCCCAAGGGCTGTGCCCTCCCTCCCTCAGAGCTGTTTAAATGGCACCTTCTCAGTGGCCGCACCCCATCCTTCTCCCTGCTTTTCTTCCCTCCAGAGATGCTTCGATTTTTAATGCAGTGAGGATTTCATGTGTCTCCCCTGACGTAAAGACCCCACCTGTCACCCAAGCTTGTGAGAGCCTCAGATGTCCCAGGTCGTGGGAGGGCTTGGCCCACCCCCACCACCAATCTGGGTGGCATCTCTGCTCAGGCTACAGCCCTGGGTGACCTCCTCCGAGGGGACGATGTCGCCAGAGCCAAGGCACAGTGCCACTCACTGATCACCTTCCCCTGACGGACCTCCGGCTCCAGAATGCCAGCTTTCCAGGGCTCCAGACCAGAGACAACTTGATTCCTGACATCCCAAGCAGGGCCCAACTCCCCCAGGGGCTTCATGGGCACTGGAACCCCCAAGGGCCTCTGCCAGCTCTCACCCCCACTCCACAGCACCCAGCCCCGCCACCTCGGCCCGCAGTGTTCACCGGCCACTGTTCCCTGGGGCGTGGCCTGAGCAGTGCTTCCACCTGCACCCCTCCCCCAGTCCTGCCTGGCCCCACCTACCCTGCTTGAGCGTCGCCACCCATCTCCGTCCCCCGCTGGGGGTGTTTATTACTCGTTTCGTCTCCTTTCTCTGGCCATCTCTGGAAAAGGCTGCAGACTGTTCCCACGCCCCTGCTCGGCTGCCCACGCCTCCCAGGGATTTGCACAAAGAGGAGGGTAGGCGCTCCCGGCAGGGTGAACGAACGAATGGGAGCCAGCCCCTCTCCCAGCGACCGGGTCAACCAGGGATCCACTCAACCCTGCTCAGCCCACAGCCACCCCAAACGGTCAGCGCAAGCCCCGGCGGGGACGGCTGCAGGGTGCGAGCCCAGGAGCTCCGCTGGCTGAGGCCACGGTCCGCCTGGAGCCCAGGAGCTCCGGGCAGCGGAGGGAGTCGCTGTGTGCTGAGCCGCTCCCGGCGGCCAGGACCCTCCGCCCACGGGGCGCTTCCGCGGAGGGCCTGCGGGTGCCCGGGCCTCCGAGCTGTGGGAACCCCATCTGCCAGGCCCCTCCGAGCAGAGGCTCCGGGCGGCAGAACAAGAGGCCCAGGCACCCCCGCCACGCTCGCGGACCAGGAGGGCCCTTTCCTGGGGGTCTCCACTGCCCCCCCGCCCCAGCTGCTGCTGGCTGAGTCCTGGCTAAAGAAGGGAAAGCATTTATTAAGGAAACCTGGCTCTTGTGAGGCGGGGACAGGGAAAGGCCCGCGGCCGGCTCCTGAAAGGTGACCATGAGGGCCCGGCCCCGCAGGGACTGCAGGGGATAAGAGGCCGATCTCGCACCCCGAACTCTTGCAGGCCGGAGTGGGTGCGGGACCGAGGGATGCGGTGAGGTGGCCCGGAGGGGCGGGGCCGAGGAAGGTCGTCGCGGGCCGCCCGCGGGGTCTGGAGTTGGGACGGGAGGGGGCGGGTCCCAGGCCGCAGTTGGGGTCTGAGTGCCGAGCGGTGGCTGCCGGACCAGGTCCAGGCCTGATGGCGGCCTAACCGTGGGTGCGGGGGTGATGGGCAGGGCTGGCCCGGGGCAGGGCTCTCGTCCTGCCCCTCGGGTAATCTCCCCGGCCCTGACGGGGGCTCGGCGGGCTCGGCGGGGCGGGGGTCCCGGGGTCCTGGCGGCCCGCGCCCCTCACCGCGCTCTTCTTGGTCACCATCTTGTCCAGTCTCCGGGCGATGCGCGCAATCTCCTCCTCCTTGCCCATCATTGCCTCAGGGGCAGCGCCCCCAGCGCCCGCCGCGCCAGCCTCAGCCTCCCGGCCCAGACGCCAACCCCCGGCCGTCACCGCCTCCCCAGGCCGTCACCGCCTCCCGCACCCGCCGCCGCCAACGCAACCTTGCCGCGGGAGGGAGACCCTCAGTTCAAACCCTTGGCCCCCGCGCCCGCCGCGCTGCAAACTGGGACATGTAGTTCCCACTCCCGCCCGCCTCGCGCCGCGCTCTCCCCGCTCTGGACCACAACTCCCAGGAGCCACGCGGGTGCGCACCGCTTCTTGGGAATTGTAGTCCTGACGCAGGCCGTCGCCGCAGACCTACGGAGCAGAAGGACTCGCAGTCCCATAAGCCCCCGCACGGTCCGGTTAGCCGGGGGAGGGCGCTGCGGTGGCGCGTGGGGCTAGGACGTGAGTACCAGCTGCAGCTTGGACCCCGAGATGTATCCCAGCCCCGCAATCCTCCTCCCTGGATTGGCCGGGAGATCCACTGCGCGGGAGACTCTAAGGCAAAGGCACCTTAGAGCCCTTCCCCTTTCTCCACCCACTTTGAGCCCTCCTCTTCCACTACCCGCTGTCGCAGGGCAGCCGCATTCTGACTCTGGTGTCCAAGAGCCAAGTCCTGCAGAAGATGCCCTGAGCGCTCTGCTCCGGATTTGGGCATCTAAAGCCTCGTGCAGAGCGCCGCCTGGAGGCCCGAGGGAGCAGTAACAGGTTCCGGGGTCTGGGAGAGGCATGGGCTGGGGTTAGCAAGGCACCAAGGGACTTGGAGAGGCTGCGCGGCCAGGGACTCTGTCTCCACAGTCATCTACCGGATGCGAATCACTGGCTGCCACTTCAAATAAGTCATTGACCACTTTGGACCTCAGTCTTCCCATCTGTGAAATAGGATGTTGATAGTATCTACCTTATTGGGCTGCAGTCAGGATGCTATGAGCTGATTCGCATCATGCACTGAGAACAGGGCACAGGGGAGAGAGCATGAGCAATTAGGCTGTCTGCTGGAGCTCCGGGAGAAGAAACAGGATGCACTGAGTTGAAGGGATGACCTGGCCGGGGAAGGCTGGGGAGGAAGGGAGGAAGTGTCAGCATCTCCACCAGATGTCTACCACCTCCTCAGTGATGCAGATGCTGGGTGATTTTCTGTAGGGGGCACAATTCTGGGGGAGGGTAGAGGCCAGGGGACTGAGGTCTATAGTATTGTGGGCCCCACAGTCACTAAAATTCAAGTCAAATAACTGTGAGGCCAGATGGAAGATGGAATGTCCAGATGACCCCAGCTGACCATGACTTAGATATAACTGAGCTTCCCAGCAGCCAAAATGAAAAGGAAAACATAGGCTATGAGATTCTTAGTAATTAGTATAAGAAAAAAACATGGAATTCCTCATAGGGAGCAAAGGTTTTCCAGTGTAACAGGAGAACACAGCACCTCCAATTTACAAACTGGCTCTGATTCTGCCCCTCACATGAGCCTGGGCCATAGCTCTTAGCCCAGCCCAACCATGTAAGCCCTTGAGGCCAAAATCTCCTGGTAAGAGAGTGTGTGTAGCCTTTGAGGGTCCAGCAATACCAGTGACACTAGGGAGATTGGAGCCACACACCCTTCAACCTCTCTCTCAACAGATGACAACTGGCCAAAACAAGGAGCTGGCCAGGGTCCTATAAAACAGAAACCAGCAGTAACTCAGGAGAACCCAGCCCCAGAGATCAGGCTGCAAGGACTGCAAAGCTGGCTCCCCATCTCCCACAGGGATGTGTCCATGAGACTGCCCAGCCAGGCCACCCAAAAGGCAGAGTTAAGTGGATGGAGGACTGCTCAAAGGTAACTCCCCTTTGTGCTGGCACCATTTCTAAGCACCATGACTGGGGATCCAACAAAGACTGGAGCACAGGGGAGAGAAGTAAACCCACATGGTCAGTGTAGAGCAGCTCTCAGTCTCTGCCCTCTGCAACAGGAAGATGTGTATCCTAGAGACCTCAAAACAGCTGCAGGGCCCTAAGAGTAGAGTCAAAAGGAGAAGATGAGCCCAGCCTGCGTGGCTCAGTGGTTGAGTGTCAACCTATGAACCAGGAGATCACGGTTTAATTCCCAGTCAGGGCATATGCCCAGGTTTCGGGTTCAATCCCCAGTGGGGGTGTGCAGGAGGCAGCCAATCGATGATTCTCTCTCATCACTGATGTTTCTATCTCTCTCTCCCTCTCCCTTCCTCTCTGAAATCAATAAAAACATTTTTAATTTTTTTAAAGGGAGAGGATGAGCACAGGCCTCTCCGAAGTCTCTCCTGGGATATCAAGAAGGGTGTGTGCCCGACGCCCAACTCTGGCCCAGGCCTCAATAGGGCAGAGTCTGGGCTGTCAACCCAGCCCTGGAGTAGGTCGCTAACAAGGAGCCAGCCTCGAGGCCAGTCCCCATCTACTCTCTCCATGGGACGGGTCAGCACATAGTACTGGGGAGAGAGCAGACATGCAGACACTCGGGAGAGCCAGCCTGAGGGCTTACCCTCACCTTCCTGGGTAGGCGGCCCTGGACAGGGACGATCCCCAACATCCTGTTCGTAAGGGATGCTGCTAAGTGTTTAGCTGGACTGAAGACGCGCTAGTGCAGCCCTGTGAGCATCCGCTCGTGCACGAACGTAAGGACACGGAGGAGAGGAGGCGCTACTCCCTTGCCCAGCCAGAGTGGGAGCCCAAACTGCCTGCCCGCGGTCCTCTGCCTCTGTGAGAAGCTGGGTGGTCTCCACCTCAGGGGCTTTGGGGGCCACAGAGACAGCTGGTAGAAGCAGCATGTCTCAATGCATCAGAGACCCACTGACACTACAGACCCAGGAGAGCAAGGCGCTGTGGCCCCTCGAGGGCGATGGCCAAGAGGTGGGGCCCCTGCAGGAGGAGTGCCCAGCAGAGGGTTCAGCCTGTGGGGCTGAAGCTGGGCGTCCAGGGAGTCTGGCCCAAGGAAATGGACAGAACAAGTAGGGGGCAGATGGCTTCCAAGCCGGGGACCTGGGGACTACAGACCTTCCCCCGTGATGGGAGCCCTGAACTCCAACACAGTGCAGGTGGCTCCTACATGGGAGCCACCACCGCAGGGGGAGGGGTGTGGCCCTATGCAAAGTGAGCCAGAGTCCAGGGTCCAGGTGGGGTGACCCTGCTAAGGCCCATGTGGCCCAGCATGAGCAGTGGCCTCTAGGTGGCGGGAGTGAGCCATGGACCTGCCTATCGGCTAGGCATTCACCCTCCCCTAGGGAGGTCCAGTCCGTGTGGCCACCACCCCGAGGCAGCCCGAGTGAGACTGTGGCTAGTCCTGGAGAGAGGCCTTCCCCTGTGGAGGCTGTAGGTGGGTCCCACCCTCGCCAGGGCTCACACTGAAGTAGCAGTGGCCAACCCCCAAGCCCCCAATTCCCACCTGGGAGGTCCCTGTCCTGGGCCCCTATGAGTTCATGACTCCCAGAACCGTGCTCACCCCTGACCCCTGATGGGCCTTACCCGACCTTGGGAATTTCCTTCTCCAAGGAGCTTCCCCAACATGCGCCCAGAGGGTGACATCAGACGTGGGACTCGCCTTCCAGGGGGTTCGTGAACCTGGCCACAGCCTCAGCAGGGTGCCCCCCAGAGCTGGGTCCTTCCACCGCCCCCCGCCCCTCCCACCTTATTCCAGGCTGGGTTTGGAGCCATGAAAATGTGGATGTGTGGGGAATGGGGAGCTCCTTAGTAGAGGTCAAAGGTGAAGAGGAATAAGGGGTGGGAGACAGCACACTTACCTCCCAGACCCCTACCCCATCCTATTCCAGAAAGCCCTCCCGGACACTCTGTTGCCCCACCACTAGGGGGCCTCTCTCAGTGCCCTCAGTGTGCTAAGGGGCGCTGCGCACACCACCCCCCTGGGGCTGCCCTCCCCTCAGGGTTGTATCCCCTCCAGGGTTCCACACCCCACCCCTTTACTGAGAGATGCGGGTGACCTCAGGAGCACTCTAGGAGCCCCGCTCTGTCCTGGGTGCTCGGAGGGGGGCCAGACACAGCCCTGCCAGGAGTCTGGGGACACCCCAACAACACGCCAGGGTCTCCACACAGGCCCCGACACACCTTTAGCCCAGAGGCCTGCTCCTCCCGTCCTCAGTCCACAGAAACATCGGAAGCTCAGGCCGGTTATTTTTCTATTTGTGTCCCCTGCCCCTGCCCGCCCAAAGCCGGCCATGACCCCAGCGGGTTGTATCCGCACTTCCCTTCTGGCGGGGCAGAGGCCTTGGTGGGAAGGCCTGTGCTGCTAAGCTCACACACCCCTCGAGTCCCCATTCCCATGGCCGCAGGCAGGCAGGGGGGTCTTGCAGCCTCGGGGCACTCCCATCCCTGCCACCTGCCGGCAGCTCTCCTGGCCAGCACCCAGCACCTATGACCCTCTTCCCCAGACCCTCTGGCCCACCATGCAACAACAGGTCTCCCGCACAGGGACTCCGTGGGACTAAGACCCAGCCTACTCCTCTGAGGGCAGGGACCGGGGATGTCGATCCTGTGAACCAGTGCATGTCTTGGCTCTGCACTGCAGCCCTCCCTCTGGGCCTCAGTCTCCCAGTCTGCAGAATGGGATGAGGCACCTGCCCAGAGCAGGGTCTCTTGGAGTCTCCAGCCAGTCCTTCAACCAATCACCTTGGGCCAGGTTCAGCTTCCCAACCCCCTCTCCCCCACACCCTCACACTCCCCCACCCCCTAGCCTACGCCCACCCCAACGCCCCCTGCCCAGGCAGCACTTGTCCGGAGGCCGGCACCCCCTAGAGCAGCGGTTCTCAACCTGTGGGTCACAACCCTTTTGGGGGTTGAACAACCCTTTCACAGGGGTCGCCTAAGACCATAGGAAAACACATATATAATTACACATTGTTTTTGTGATTAATCACTAT